GGAACATTTTTCCTCCAAATCACCAGATCAGACGTGGAGAAAGGCGTATGGGTCAAAACATTTTATATCACCCGTGCTTGGCTGGGTATAGGTCTTTGTAATAAAGGCACCATTAATTTCCTTGCAGCATTCCCATCCAAGACATGTGACTCAGGGTGAGCTGGAGGGGCACCGGGTGTGATTGAATTAGAAGTTACACTCGGGGGATTAGAAAGTTCTACCCAACAGTACTAATAAGGCAGATGGGAAGGCTTTAATTCTGGTTTTAAAAATTTTAACATGGCATAGTTGAAAGTACCCATTTCAGGCTAGATTGAATTACCAGCTGCATCAGTAAACTTATTCCATTCCAGACATAAATTCCATGCATAGCTTTTCCTCATTCCTGCCTGTATGGGCAATTAATATCTGTCCCAGGTGAGGAGCATCCTTCCCAAAGGGGCACTTCCAAAGAGGCATCTGGGGAGACCTTTGACTTGCCATTCCCCATTTCTGTCCCTAACTACGACATGCATGTCCACCTAAGTTTGAGGTACTCTTTTGCACCTGAAGACTCCCTAATGGAGTACTGGTCCTCCCTTTTTCACAACCCTGGTTCCGGACTAAGAAAGCAGTAGAAGGCAGACTGGTATTTGCTCAGTTAAAGTCAGTCATCCAACCTTTCGCTGCCTGCTGGGGCATGCGAGTCTAGTCAGTTTCCCTTGCTTTCCAGGATCTCCTGGTCATCACCTGAAATGGACTAGTGGAAGTCTAGGGGTGACTGAAACTGACTTTGATGCATAGCCTTGGTCAGCAGCTGGGGTAAAGCACAAAGGGGAATATCACACTTGCACGCTCACTGGGCACCAGACACAAAAGTAAATTGCAGAGTACTTACTGGCTATGAAGTCTCTGGTTCAAGCAACCGTTTGGCCCAAAACCAAAAACTCCCTTTACTACCAAGGCCTGATGACATAGCCAGATCTTGAGGGACTTCTGGAACATTGACAGGGATGGGGCTGACTGGACTTTGGTGTGGGGGGAGAATGTTCCATAAGGCAGGTGCCACAGCAGAGTAGTCCTGCTTCCTGGAACCCGTCAAGTGTAAGACCCCAGCAGATGCTTTATAAGGTTGTTGGGATACAGCAGGATGTGGAAAGGCTGACTTATGTTGGCCTGAGATTCTAGAAGGATAATAAGAGTCTCCTCCCTTAAATGCTGCCACCTGAGATTCAAGGGATCCCTACCCTTTTAGCCTTCTGGAAGACCATGAAGACCTGGCTGTTCCTCCAAGCATTGGGCTAGGATGTGGGTTGAATCAGGAGGCTATTTAGTCTGGCGGCTGGTGGGAAGAGTGATTTTGGTGATATAAGTTTTTCAAATAATAAGTAAGATCCATTTTGAAAGCAGATTCTGCTAGTCTGTACTCTATTTTCTAGCATCTCATGTATTCCACTATGAGGAACATCAGACCTTTACTACCTTCTTAGCTGTATCTCTATCATTTGTTAGAAGGCAGGGTCTGTGCTTGCATGAATCAAATAATGTGTTTCCCCTTTCTCTGGGCCACATTTTACAATTCCCCCTCCTTATTTTGTACATTTGCAAATCATGCATTTCAGTGATTATTTTTCTTGGTATAATACATGAAGGTTAGTTCAGTAGACAGGGGGCTTATCCACGTTACTTTGTTGACCTGTCACCAGAATGGGATAGTAACTATTTGCTTTGATGGTGGAAACCCATAATTTCAGCCTTTAGTCATCTCCCTCTCATTGCCAATTCAACCTCTAAGTGCTTTTTACTGTTGCAGTTTGAAAGTGGTCTTTTCCTGTTACATCACCTACATGCTCTTTTGTGTTTTGGCTGGGGCACTTTACTTTCTCCAAGGCTAAGTCTAGCACTTCATAGGCTAATTCATAGAGGAAGGAATGACTGCTCAAGGGAGGTGATAGTTGCCCTAATCTCTAAGAAATGCTAAGACCTTCTCTCCAGTTTTGGTATTAAAATAATGCAGTGGCTGACAGCCTTGTCTGGTATGTAAGAGATTGGTGGTTCAAAAGTAGGTTTGACAACAAATAATGCAACAGAATTGTTTTTAATTACTATTTTCTTTTCCTTAGTTAGTTAGCTAGTTAGAAAAAACTAGCTAACTGAAAGAAAGTAATTAAAATAATTATGTTAGCTTTTAAACCACCACAGAGTGCTTAGCTATTGTACTATTGTGGCAGTGATGAGAAAGGAAGGTCTTGTAGTGACTAGAGTGAAAAACAACTTACAAGAAAGAATTTTTTGGCTGGTGTGGGTCTTCCGGGCTGTGTGGCCGTGTTCTGGAAGTTTTGTTTCCTAACATTTCCCCCACACCCCCGTATCCCCGCGTTGCTTTGTGAGCTGGAGCCATGTCGCGGCTAGGAGGTCGCCTCGCGCCCGGCGGTCCCGCTCCTGCTT